TTATAGTTTTAATACAAAATGCATATCAAAACAAGCTATACTTATTAATTATTTCATAATTAAATAAATCAAATCATAAATAAAAATTATAAAGTAATTTTGCTAAATGGATTCACTATTATAATAAAAATTATTTACTCAGTTGTATACTAATATATAAAAGCAATTTATCAATAATTTAATTGAAATAATTTGATATATTAATATACATAATCACTAAAAATTTGAAAAAAATAATTATCATATATTTAAACTCTTTCTTGAAATTTTTAGCTATACAAATTCAAAATCATATAAAATATTATAAAAATCTTTTGATGCTAATAAATTAAATTTACATTATTAAACTCTTACTCTATATGTTATATTATTATAAATATTAATGGTGAATTTTAATTAGCTTTATGATATATTTAACAATTTTATTATTATCATTTCAAATTATGTTAGATTTTTATGATATTAATATAATATTACTGCTGTAAATCATATATTAAAAATTTTATATATCCTATTGATCAGATTATAATAATCAAAATTTATAAGCAAAATATTTAGACTATAACTGTAAATAAGACAAAATATTAAATTTTGAATAGTCACTTATTAATTACTAATGTAAAAGTAGTTAATATTAAAAAATATTTACCAATTGATCATTTGTAAATAAAAATCAAATTATTATTAAAAATATTGATATAAGCTAATAAAATAATTCATATATAGAATAAAATATATTATATTTAAGATTTAATACACATATTTTTTTAAAAATTAGGAGTATTAATTTAATTCTGAAAATAGTACTTTTAATATGATTTTAATATAGAAATCAATAATAAGCTAAGAAAATGATGTTTTTACAAGAAAATAAATAGATTGTTAATGAATTACAGGCTGATTTATCTTATTATCATATATAAATAATATGAATAAACTATTTACATATTTATGATCTGCTTCTTTTAAAAGCTAAATTATAAATATTCTGAAAATCTATCAAATATTAACAAATATAAAAGATTCATTTATTATTATTAGCTTACATGAAAATGAAATTTCAGTATCACACATATACAATAAAACAAATTTATCAGATTGTAATCAAAATAATCAAAATAAAAATGATATATTATTTATAATAATAATATATCTAAAGAAATAGAAAAAATTAGTAATAATTTAAATGCAAAAAATTCTTAAATAATAGTGATAGTAGTAAGTATTTAAAAACTATATTATAAAAAAATATTTTAACTTTTTATACTAAATTATAAATTATATTTAATTTAGATTATTAATAATTTTTAGCTTTATTAATGTAATTACATGATGTATATTATTCTAAATCTTTTGAATAAAAGTTTAAACAAATTCAACTAAATTAAATATGCAATATATCTAATCTAATAAAACTAATCATATTATTTGCATATTTCACAAAAAGTGAAAATTCTAAATATCAATTTATTAAACAAAAAGGAAAATGGTAAAAAGAAAATCATAATAACACATCATTAATTAACATTTGCATAATTACATTTAGAAGAATTAAAAAAATCAAAGAAAAAGCAAAATAAAAAAAAAAGAAATATTCAATCAGAATTAATTATATTTATTTTCTTTATCTAATTTCTTTTTATAATTATAATATAATATTAATAAATACTATTACAAAAAACATTTCAAATATAAGCCACTTTTACAAAAATCAGATGACACACTTCGGAAATTTAACGACCGCAGTAACCAAATCTACTATCTTTATATCCAATAAAATTTTTTGTGTTCTAATTTGTTCTAATGCTAAAATACAACAAAAAAGAAAACGACGACAAAGTATTTACCATTGTTTCGTTTTGTTCAGTTTATGAGCCTTTACTGCGGAAAATTTAAACACAAGTAGTTTCGGAAAAATAAAACGAAATAACTATTAAATTAAAATGCAAAATATATCTCACATAAATATAAATTCAGAGCACTTTCATTATTGACACGAACATTCCGTAACAATAAATAAATAAATATTTATATGTGTCAAAATGACACGTCCTTCAAGAACAATTATTAAAAAAAGTGTATTACAATTTACACAAGAGGGTAAATACAAATTCAATTTTTGAGAAACATAAAATGTTTTTAAAATTTTAATGGTATAATTTTTATTTAAAAATTATAGAGGGGGACTTGGGAAAAAAAACAGAAGTTAAAAAAACTTCAAAAAACACAAGTCGTATAAATGATAATAAGCCAATCTTTAAATTAAAACTGCCAAAGGAATTAGTAAAAGACCTTGGAAAATCTTCGGAAGGATTACTGAATATTTATTCTCCAATTCAATCCTCAATCAGACCTACTATTGAAATTTTATCTTCTGATGATGAATATTTAACATATGACGATCATTCATCACCTACAGAAATGGGACGTAAAAGATCTCCATCTCCTATTAGAACTTTGTCATCGATGGAGGACAATGGAGAAATTAGCTCGTTAGTAATATCACGGAACCTGTCTCAAGGGAATACTCAGACAGATAAAAAAGAGAGTAGTGATGATGAATTTGGGTTTGCGAAAGCTGAAAAAAAGATAATGAAAAAAAATGGTACCAAAAATCAAAAAATTTCGAATAATTACGAAAAATCTGATCAAGTTATCGTAATTGAAAACGAGAACTTTCAAAGCCATATAATCAAAAGCATTTCACTTATTGAAGAAACTGATGGTCAAAATTATAGTGACGCTGATGATTATGATGACTTTCTTCTGGAACCCGGAATTGAAAATCAAAATGAGGCTCAACGAAAACAGTATAACGAAGAATCTAATATTGACAATGTCGATAAAAATCATAGTCAACCGAACCTTGATGAGGATCACCTTTCAGCAGAAAATGATAAAATATCTGTGAACCTTTCATCTATAAAAATTCAAAAACCGCCTACAAATATTACAAAAACTGTCGATTTAATAGCTTCCATTTTACCACCTCGCCATCGCATCAAACGTGTGTTTAAAAGGAATTTCTAATTGTAATGATTCATTTAATTTCACACAATTATTATTAAGTGACACGCTTTCCTTGAATATTTGTAGGCGATAATAAAGAAGTATTAGATCATAAAAAAAAAGAACCTTCGCAAACAATACGAAAAAGAAAAATACACAGTGATTATAAAACTAGAAAGGTTAAGAAAGAAACTCACAGTCTGGAATCGATTGATGATGATAATGTAAGTGAAAATTCTTTTTTTTTTATTAAAAAAAAAAATTAACGAAAAACTTACATTAATGGTATCCAAGAAGGAAAAAGAAGCTCGCGCAATACGTATCCTACACTTTGAAGAGATCGATAAGGTTGTATTGCCAATCGAGTAAGTTGCCACTAATCAACCCCAAGAACTTCACTTGGAAAAGGTGATGAATTCCTTTCATTGTCGCGGAAAAACGAGATTGAAACATAGAATAGGATAATGGAAGTTATATGTATTTTAAAGTGAAAACAAAAAAAAAATTTAGTTAATTATAGACGAAGGCGTTTATATGTTTGGGCAAAATAATTAACAAAGGCTATCCGGCGATTAATCAAAAAATAGAATAATTCGATCAAAAACTTTGTGCAATAAATTAAACTGTACGTATAATAAATAATGATGATAATAATAATAATGATAAAAACTTTGAACAATCAAACTGCGTTTGAAACTGTTTAAAAAACTTGTATATGATGTTTGAAATGAATAACTTTGGGCAAATAGCAAAATGATTTAAATCTCATTAGAAAACCTCAAAAAAAAAAAAAAAAAAAAAAAAAAAAAGGAAAGGAAAAAAAAAAGAAAAAAGAGGCATGATTAATTAAAAATATCAAATTATAAATAATTAATAAAAGAAGAATATATTAATGCTATTATTTTTATAATATTTTCTCGTAAAGGATTTTTTTTTTCTTTTGTAGTTTTTGAAAATTTTTTTTTATAGGTAATAATAATTAATGCAAATCTATGACCTGGGGCTTTTATGAATGAAAAAAGAAAAAAAAAAGTTCTTTTTTTTTAAAAAAAAAAGCAAAAAAAAAAAAAGCCAAGATAAAAATAACCAAATAATACAATATATTTTCTTTCTTTTTTTTTTTTTCTTGGAAGAAAAAAAAAAAAAAAAAAAAGGAAAAAAAAGGAAAGGTTTAATTAATCAACAGGGAAGGAAAAAAGTATATATACCGAAAACGAAAAGCTTACACAATAAAAAAAAAAAAAAAAATTTGAGAAAAAAGAGGGGAAAGCTTTATAATTAGATACAAGAAAAACGAAATCAAATATATAAGGAAAAAATTTGGAAAGATCAAAATAATTATAAAATTTAGTAAATAAAGTGATCAAAGAAATGAAATGTTAATGATCAAATAACACTAATTTTGATCACCCCCCTAAATGAAGAAAAAATGAAAGGGAGTAGGAAAAAAATGAAAAATTAATATCTATATATGATTACTTAAGGACTATAAAAAGAAAAGCAGTCCAACCAATTTTTAAGAAAAAAATTAAATCCCACACCCCATTATTGTTACTTAAAATATAAGATCACCCAAACAACCAATGGTTCATGATAAGAAGAAAATAATTTTTTTTTAAAAAAAAAAAAAAAAAAAAAAAAAAAAAGACCAACAAATCATATGATTATATAAAGAAAAATAGAACATAAATTTTTTTTTTAATAAAGAAGTTTCCAAAGACTGAATAACAAAGGGAGAGGGATATATATATAAGGCAAGAAAAGCGAAATTTTTGAATAAAAAGTATAATATAGCTACAAGAAAGAAAAAGGATGAGATCAAAAAAAGGACACCCTCAAACCATAGAATCACCCAAATTTTTCTTATACAACATTCAATATCTAGCCAAAATACTAAGTAATTGAATAATTGAATAACTAAAGGAAAAGAAAGAAATATTTGATATTCCTCAAATGCAATGCATTTAAAGGTTCTTACTAACCACTGTCCATTATTCATCAACTTCATCCCCAACTTCATCATCAACAATATCGATATTTCCAGTTTCTGAATCACCAGCATGAAGTACTCTTGCATCGGACTCGCCATTATTACGACCTTTGGTCTTTCCACCTGTACCATTACTTGAGCTAGCAGAAGAACCTCGCGGAGGATTACCACAACGATCTTTTCCATAATTGATACGGAATTTTTTATATTCTTCTTTCATCTTGATATTTTCGATGGCCTTCATAGCAGATGTGATCGAAGTAAAGTTGACAAATCCACAATTCTTCTCCTTAAGGATATTGACAAGTTCAATATCACCATATTCGGAAAAGTCTCTCTTAAGTTTCTCTTCACTAATATTATCATCTATTTGTCCCACATAAACATTACGAGAGGCGCTTTGAGTATTAACGGCCAACTGGATATATCCTGGTAAAGGTCCTGGATTTTTTCCCCAACCAATCTTAAGGCGACGATTTTTTACCATAACGCCTGTTTGTTGAGCCAGATACATAAAGCTATTTGCAGCACTAGGATCAATAAAAGTGATAAAAGCTATGTGCTTTTCCGGTATATAGCGAATTTGTTGGAGAATTCCACCTCGGATAACATTACAAATTTCTTCACATGACGTATCCGGATGAATATTACCAAGGTAAATCGTTCGATTGCCAATGGTTGAACCAGAAGTTGCACTACCAGCAGCAGATGAAGCGGAAGAGAATAATGGACTAGTTGGACTTCTTAGTTCAGTACCATTATCAAGATGACTAGTGGCGGCGACGACCGCATTTTGATATGGATCAAAACCGAATCCCATAGCGGCATTACCGAAACTTTGAAAATTAAGAGCTCCGGTTGGGAATCCAGCATATTGAGCGGTCGTGCCATTTCCTAAATTGGGTCTCTGGGAACATCGATCCTTTCCATAGTTTACTTTTTTATTTGTATATTTGGGTTCGGTTGGTAGGCTTTGTACAGCCTTCATGGCACTAGAAATAGTAAAAAAGTGAACAAAACCAATGTTCTTTTCTCTAACAATCTTAACAGTATCAATATTGCCATATTTTGACAAATCTTCACGTAAAGTACTTTCTGTTATAGTTTCATCTAAATTACCCAAATAAACATTACGTGTAGCATTTTGAGTAGAAACTGCAACTTGAACATTAACGGGTACCGGAGAAGCTTTACCCCATCCGACCTTCAATTCTTGTCCTTGGATAAGGATTTTACGAGTTGAAGCATCTTGATAAAATGCCATAGCCGCAGAGCCATCCATAAACGAAATAAAAGCACAACTTTTATCAGCAAGTACACGGACCGATTCTATTGGACCGACTCTAACTTGATTGAGGATTTCATCAACTGGTACGTCTGGAGGAAGATTTCCGAGATAAACGGTTCGACCAGTTGCGTTTGTAGAGGGAGAAGCGACGGCGGTCTGTTGGTAAGAAGTTGGAAACTGTGCGGCAGAAAAAGCCCCAGAGAATTGAGGAACCATGCTGCTGACACTAGGAGTATATTGATTCATAGAGGTAGCGTATTGTGAGGCCTGGTGGTACCCGCTCATGCCAAAGTGGCCGGCAGTATGACCTGGATGATGGTGAAAACCAGCCGCACCTTGAGAGTATGTAGGGTTACCCATCATCATTGCTGATGGACCAACAGGAGGAAAATGACTATATAAATCACTATTTGAGGAACCTTGTGCAAGGTCGCTTCTCATACCTCCACCCATAGAATAATTATTACCGCTATAAGCGCTTTGTCCAAAACGTGGTTTTTTCTGGTTATTATCGTGACTTTGATTTCCGTAATCGTTAGGGCGTTTCATGTTTGATTTATCAGTATAACTTTCAGTCCCAAATTCTTCTGAATGGGAGAACAACATAAACACAAGTAATTGCTGTTAAAGGTCGTATTGGAATAAAAAAAAAGAAAAAAAAAAAAAAGAGACCGTCAATAAAATTGAGCTCGTATCTTCGAACTCTAATAAAATGGGTAACCCCTAATATAAAGTTTCTTTTAATGAACCTAAGAAACGTTTGGGGATTCTTTTTTTCGAAAAAAAAAAAAAAATTTGATGAATATGTGATCAATCTGAAAGCCAGACGCAAATCTCAAAAGCCCCTAAAATTTTTTGCACATGTACTCCGTCATCAAAAAATTTTTCCCCGCAGAATTTAATCAATCATATCAGATGACTTAACACAAATATATATACGTCCAAATTTATCCATTTTCGCGATTTTATCTTCCAAAAAGAAAGTTAACTTTTGATTGGAATTTCAATGAACATCCATACAATTACGTTACTATAACATTATAAAAATTAAGACGGATAAATATTAAATTAAAATTTTTTATTAAAGATAAAATATTATTTATACGCCAAAATATAAATTATTTTCGAATGTTTATTCTCATGGCAAGCAACGTCCCATAAATCTTGGGTATAAGCAACATTCTTTTACTGTATCACGATGTAATAACCAAGCTAAAAACCTTTCAACACCTAATCCAAATCCACCGTGCTCAGTCGTTCCATATTTTCGTTGATCTGTATACCAATAATATGGTGTTGGATCAATTCCTATTTACAAATAAAGGGAAATTAGAAGAATAGTTAAATAAAATAAAATTGAAGAAAAACCACATTACCTTCTCTTTTATATCCTTCTAATAATTCAGATATATCTGAAATTCTCATACTTCCACCCACAATTTCTCCTACGCCGGGCATCAAAACGTCCACACTTTCTGTAACCCGCTTATCATTAGCACATCGTTTCATATAAAATGCTTTGATTTCAGCGGGAAATCTACATAGGAAAATCGGTTGATTAATTCGATCTGTCATAACACGTTCAGGAGCTTCTGGAATATCTTCACCAAATTCATAAAAACTTCCATCTTCTTTTTTAATATCGTGGTCTTTGAGATACTGAACCGCATCTTTATAGTCCATACGTAAGAAAGGACGTTTAGGAGGTACGAAATCTGGATGAAGTTGGTAAACTAATTTGCGAGTTGGTTCATGTGCGAGGACACGAGAAATTGTATCGCAAATCAAATCTTCCAAAGCATTTAATAGATCATCAAATGTAATAAAAACCATTTCGGCTTCTAAATGGGTATACCTTTAATGTAATAAGGAATGATTGAATACGTTACGAAATTATATTAATTATATTTGTTTGAACTAAATGTTGAATAACTCACTCGGATAAATGACGACGGGTATGTGATTTCTCGGCACGATAAGATTCTGAAATACAATATACGTCTCCAAGTGATGGGAGACATGTCTCGAGGTATAATTGAGAGGTTTGTGTAAGATACGCCTAAAAAACCCAATGATTTAAGATAAGATGATTATAGTGCTTTTAAAAAATTTTGTTGCTTTCCTACTTTTTCTCCGTAATAATTCATTTCGAACAAAGTACTTCCACCCTCGACCTGAGTCTGAACCATGCAAGGAGCGTTAATCTCTGTAAATCCTTTAGAGTCGAAATGATCGCGAAACGCCTTCATAACTGCAGATCGAACTTTTAACACTGTAGATGCAGTTTCTCCTCGAATTACTAAATGACGTTGTTCATATAATACGGATGGATCGGCTTCAGCATTAAGTTTGTTGGTAAATGCATCATCGCCACCCGGTGCATTATGAATGACTTCCCAATAATCGGCAAGAAGCTCGTGATTATCAGGAGCCTGGTAATTGAAATATATATTAACGAAAAAACTTTAAAATAACACAAGTTTTCAACGTGTAAGTCTACCGTTTTTCCAGCAGGTAATTCGGATATCACGCCATAAATCGTAACTGTCGATTCGAGGGATAAAGTCAATGCATCATATGTATGACACTAAATATAGAACAAATTAGCAATTATTATGAAGTTAAATTGAATATAAACTTCGAAACGCACCAATTTGCCGGTGAGAATGCATTGAAGATATCCAGAACCATCTCTCAAAACTATAAACTTCATATCTTTTCCTTGTGTGCGAAGGCGATGAACCCATCCAGAAACTTTAACGCGCTTTCCACGATTAGAAACTGAATTCAAAATCTTTATCTATAAAATATATATATATATATTTGAGTGGAAGTTTTGATAAAGTTCAATAATTATATATCTTTTTTCACCTTTATTGCCTGTGGAAGAGTAGAATCTTGTTTAAGAACAATACTTTTTGCTTCTTCCAATTTTCTTTCTTCTTCTGCTTTTTGAAGGTTTGCTTTTTCAGCTTCAGCTTTCCTTTTTTCTTCTTCCTTCTTGGCCTTTTTTGTCAAGTCCTCAACTCGTTTCTTGGCTTTTTTTAAGGCGGAACCTGATATATCTTTGTAACCTTCTTCAGAAGTTTTCTGAACTAGAATTTTTATATTGTCACCTTTCGCTTGAAGAGAGAGAACTGCTGTTTTATAGGGAGCATCCCGAGTTCCTGTTCCGGTTTCATCAGAGCCATGTATCTCGTCAACATATATAGTTTCATCTAATATTTAAGACAAATAAAACTGGATAAGAATTTTCGTAAATGTATCGAATTCAAATTAAAACTTACTGTCTTGTGGCATTTCGCCCGATGAAAAAATTTTAATTGATGTATTATAAAGGAAATGATTTAAACCGCGATCTATTATCGTTATGTATCGATCTGCAATATCTAAAATTTTTAAATTAAAAATTATTTTTTGATTTTTATATTAATAAAACAAATATATATTATTTTGAGAATACATGATAATTAATTCTAAATGCTTTTTAATCACTTCATCATTCACGTTTATGCATCCAAAAACTTACTGTTAAAAATTTTTATAAATTTAAATAATTCAAACTTTCTGCTTGACAGTTTCACATTATTTCTCTTATTACCGTTACCATTATGTAAGATCTATTTCCTTTTCACTTTCCTACCCTATAGTTATCAAAGCTATAAAAATTTTTGAATACGCTTCAAATCATCAATATTACTTTTTTTTTATTTTGCAATTCATATGAAATACCAAATCATATATTAGGAGTGTTTCTAGTTCCGAGCTCCTCCAACCAAAAATGAGATTTTTATTTCATGTTAATAGGTTATACAAGATCTTCAATTGGTTAAAAAATTAAATCATAATGCTATAATATTATTGAGCTTTGAAAGTTTGTTTAAAGTAATTCTAAAAATAGAATTTTTATTTGTTGAATCAATTTCATATCAAGTGCAGTTTACAGATTTTCTAATAATCTGTAAAATATCGAAATTTTGGTTAGAGGCGTAGTGAATTTTTCAAATAACTTTATTATTTTTTTTTTAACAAATAAAGATCAAAAATAATTGTTATATCACAATATAAATTGATTATAACCAATTAATCAAATCAAATATTAGAAAAACAATTAATTGTGTCAATAGTTCTATAATAAAAATTAGTAAATATACCCATCATATATAACTGATTGAGAACTTGCGCAAGGGCTCTGTAATAGATAGTTTAAAAATGGCATTACAACTAGTTACAATCATGTGATGCTTATTTATCAACAGTTACAACTAGTTGAAACTTAATTTTTATTAATATTGTAACTAGTTGCAACTTTGTAATACTTATTTATCACTGGTTGCAACTAATTGCAGTGCTATCTTTAAATAATAAACAAGTGTATAAATAGTAAATACTACCTTAAAGTATTCTGACTTTTTATTTCACAGTAAATCAATCACATAAGGTATATTATTAATAATAATTTTACAGGTTATTAGAGATTACTCATGAAGTTACATTATAATTATTCAGTTTAGATAATTAAACTTTTGCTATTACAAATTACTCTACAGCCAAAGTATAATTATTATATGTGACTGTATAATTATTAGATTTATCATAATTATTTAATACATTATTTATTATTGATTATTAAGAAATTTATGTTAAATTTAATTTTGAATTTGTTTAAATAAATGATTGAATTCAAATATTTATATAAAATAAAATTTTTTATAACAAATCATAATAACAGTTAACATAATTTAAAAAATGCAATAAAGATAACACAAATATAATTGCATTAAATTATTATTTATATTAAAATCTGATTAAAGATATACTTCAACCTTATTTGTTATGAAAATCTGTAAAATTAAATCAAATGTAAATCAGAATTAAAAATTAAAAAAATATACTAACCTTAATATTATAACAAATCAATAAAAAATATCCTTTTTAATGTATTATGATAATCATATTAGATAACTAAAAATCTAATATTTTTTTTATTTTTTTAAGATTTTAAAGATTAGTTTTTTTAAAAAATTGCTTTTTATTAAAGTTTCTTCTTTTTTATTTTGTAAGAAATAAAAGTTTTAAAAAGATTTTGTAAGTCTATTATAAAAGAGTTTTTTGATATTAGTTTAAGAAACATTATTAATATTTCTTTTTTTTTTATTTGTAAAGAATAAAAACCTTAGAAATTTTCTTATAAAGTTATTAAAGAAAGGTTCTTTTAGTATTAGCTTAAGAATATTTCTAACATTTTTTTTTTTATTTATAAAAAACGAAAACTCTAAAAATATTTTTATAAGGTTATTAAATGAGAATTTTTCAATATTATTTATAAAATATTATTAACATTTCTTTTTTTTTTATTTTATAGAAAATGAAAACTTTAAAAAATGTTTTCATAAATCTATTAAGAAAGATTCTTTTAATATTAATTTAAAAAACATTTTTAACTAAAGATGATATTGTAACTAATTACAATTGGTAATAAATAAGCATCATAAGATTGTAATTAGTTGAAACATTAATAAAAATTAAATTGCAACTAGTTATAACTAGTGACAAATAAGCATTATATGATTATAACTAATTATAACATTATGATATTTAATTACATATCATACAGAATATTGCAGAATTTCTTTTAATTGCATTCTACATTTGTTTTAATCATTATATAATGTCAAAAAATTTAAAAATTATAAAATTTTTAGCTTTTGATAATCAAATTTGAGTTTTATATTTGTTTTACAATTTAAAATAGTAGCTTTTATCAAATATGATACATGTAAAAAAAAAGTGTATTAATTAATAACCTGGTATTTTTAAAGAGTATAAAGGTATCATGTTTACAAATTTTTAACTTTTTAGTTGAATAAAAGTTAAAATCTACCATTATCTTTTAAAAAGATTAAAAAACAAAGATAAATTATTAAATAAAAAAAAAGTAAGCCAATATTTCTATAATCAATAATGTATTTGAATCTAAAAGAGAAGTCAAATAATTTAATTAAAGCTTTTTTTTGCAAATATCCTTTTGAAAAAAATAAATCAACTTCTTTCTTTTTTTAAAATTCACCTTATAATAAATTTCATACAGAATATATTGAGTTGTTAGATTGTCAGTTATCAGCAATCATAAAAACTAATCACATGACAAATAGATAAATAATAATTAACATATTTATTTAGCACAATGGCATTTTTTAGAATTTGTAAAACTACTTTTGATTTTTGTAAATTGCATGTAATTTTAAGTTATGTATTATGTAATCCACAAATTTTAAATTTTTGCGCAAATTCTTATGAATTCATGACTTTATTATTTATTATTAATTAATTTATCTAATTAAGGTAATTGATTTATTATTTCATATATTTAAGAAAAATCTTATCTTTATATTTTTTTTATTTAACAATAGAAAACATAAGTAATTTAACAAGAAAATATAAAGAAAATGATTATATTAAAATATTAAACTTTCTAAAAGTTCTAAAAGTTCTTCTACTTTTCATCAAAAACCTTTAAATAAAAAATATAAAAGGAATGTAATGATTAGAATCCAAAGTGATAATAAATATATTTATGGTTAATAAGAAAAAAAAATAATAAAAAAATTCTTTTTGTATTTTATTTGATATAAAGAGAGAAAGGTAAACAATATTTTTATAAAAAGGTATAATAAATTTAAGAAAGATTATCTTTGATAATCACATAAAAATTAAAACGTATATTTTAATTTTAAAATTAAAAAGGTAATACTAATAAATTAATAAAATATAATTAGTAGTAAAATAATACAATTAAGAATAAAAAAAATTTCAAATTATTATATAAATAAGAAATACTTATTTTTATTTGAAAATAATTTAATGCTTAACATATATCTTAATCTTAATAATTTTGTAGAATATTAATTCAAAATTATAATGAAATTCAATAAATAATACCTATAAAAATTTTATTATCTTCTTTATATTCACAAACATTATTATCTTCTTTTATACTTTTTATAATTATGCTTTATATAAAAATTCTACAGATAATAAATTTTATTGAATCAATTTTATATATAATTAAATATCAAATTATAGTAAAAATTAATAAAAGTATTAGTTAAAGCATTCTTTTAGATATTATAATACTATTTAAACTTATATAAAAAAGATTCTAAATATTTTTTAAAGACTGATTTTAAGAATAAAAATATAACATCAACATTATAATATTATTATAAATAATAAAATATATAAAATTAATAAATATTTAGTATTTTTATTAAAATTAGGCTGTTACAAATTAAAATTATGTTTAAAGTTAATTTTCTAAAAAAAGCAGAAGAGGAGAAGTTTAAAAAATTTTTATAAATTTGTACTTTATAAAATTTTAAAAATTTTTAGAAGGATTTTTTTTAATATTATTTTTTTTTTTATTTATATGTGAAACTAAGAAGAAAATATTTCTATTTGTTAAAAGTATATTATAATAAAGTTCTTATTTATTATTTTATTTGTTAAAAGTATATTATAATAAAGTTTTTGTTTATTATTTTATTTGTTAAAGATAATTTATTCACAAGTTTTTCATTTTTTAATATATAATTTACCCTTTGTATACTAACATAAATCCTGATTTTGACAAGAATTGCATAATGGATAAACAGTTTGCCATTCATTTTTAATTTTTTTATCTGACTCTAATAATTCATCTGCTTCTTCACAAAAATAATAAATTGGTAAATGTTGAATTTTACATAAATAATATACTTGCTTTATATGATCATAATACGTTTGATTTATTCTAACAAAAAAATATTATAGAGTGGATGATCTTTCAGAAAAATAGGTGAACCGCATGTGTAGGAATAATTTTCAATTGCAAGTTGTATGCTAAATTGTTCATTATCCTTTAATATTTTTTGACTAAATAAACATCTGATTTTCTACAGTTTACACATCTTATAAAATCTTATACTTTGCTTAACACTAAAATACCATCAGATGCATATTCTTTTTTATTCTCTAACTTTTATTTGCTTAGTAAGTTCTTTTTATTAGTAGCATAACCATATAGTGAATTAAAATCTTGAAAATGATCAGGATTTAAATATAAATAATAAATTAATTAAATCTATATATTACAAAAGGTTTAATATTTTTTTAATACTTATTCGAAGATAATTGAGGATCTGAAATAAAGTGAATTACATTAAAAAAATATTCCAGAAGGAGAATTAGCGTACATGTAAGACATTCAAGTTGGTTGCATTTTTTAATTTTTGAAAAAAAATGCATTAAATTTTAATTAAAATTTACTGTAAATAAATAAATATCAAATAAACATTATAGATATCTGAAATGAATATTCATGTATTTGACAATGTGTATATAAAAATTTTTGAAAATATTCATATGATATAGTTTATTTTGAGTAGTATTATTTCTATTTAAAGTTGCATCAACTTTTTTACAAATTATCTATTAAATAAATATTATTTATTATTTTTAATTTAATTTCTAAACATTTAAAGAACATAAAATAATTCATATCTCAAAAAACTCATAAATTTCTGAATCAGTAGCTGGCTGAGAACATTTAAAATAATTATCTTTAAGTTTTAGATATTTTGTTCGTCCTTTTAAAAAGTTTTGTATTTTGTTAATACTTGTTTTCAATTCATTTTTAAGTGTTAAATTTTGTGATGCTCTTTCCCAAATTTTTTCAAGTGTATTTAAAGATTTAAAATCTAATTCATTATCCATTTTATCTCACTGCAATGTCACACCTTATAAATCTAAATTTAATACTGATATAATACGTTCTGCAGAATTTATCTAACTATAATAAGGTATTATCCTTAATGCTACAAGAAAATCAAAATTATCATGCAAGAAAAAACAAATCAATGTTAATTGAATGGATCCAAATGTATTCTGATGATCAGTTCCACTATCTGTATAGATAAAAGCAATTTTTGGTAATTCTCTGAATATTGAGCTCTCATTATAAAAAGCCATTCAATAGTGTGTCTCATAGTAAAACTTGGTTGAAAAATTGAATCTTTATATGAAACATATACTTAACTAAAATAAAAACTTTCTGAGATGTTTTTAGATATGACATAAATTAATGATATTGATAGTATAATAGAACACTTGGTAAAATTATGATCACAAGCTGATAGAATATTATTCATAGAACCCAAAGTTTTTTTATTACGAACTCTTGTAAATATTGCAATTTTTTCACCAATTGAAATTTTGTATTTATTATCTGCAAATATTATACAAATATATAAATGAAATCAAATTGCAAATAGTCGCATATATCAAAATAAAGCTAAACAATAGTAAACATCTGAATGATATTTTTATAGTAATCTTGTTTAAACAGTATATTTAATTCTAAATGTACTTGTATGTTATATTGCAGAATTGTAATAAGAATTTTTTGGCCAAAACTGAAGTCATATCCATTTATCACTTAGAATTTTTATTATTTAAATTCTTCTGATATTTTTGATTGTTATAATCTTTTAATTATAATTTCTTTCAAATTGCGTATTGATATAGCAATTGGCATATACATTGTATTATTATGTCTTTAATCATGAACATTAGGTATAATCTAATTTAAAGAATTAAATATTAGTTTATATTTTTTAATTAAAATAATAATGAATTTCTTGTCTTGTAATACTTGCCTTGTTAAAGTATACAGATAGCTCATTCTAAAAAATATCAAATTTATATTATGTATACTATTATTGACCTAGAGATCAATTATTATATTCAGATCCTATGTAAAGATGGCGCCTCAATTAGTTGCAACAGGTGACAAATAAGTATCACAATGTTGCAACGAATTGCAACATTATTAAAATTTAAGTTGCAACAAGTGACAAATAAGTGTCACAATGTTGCAACGCCATCTTTAATCCTATATATATAATATCAATTTAATACATTCTTTTCTTTTATCACTTATATATGTTGAAGAAGAGATTGCATCTCCTGTAAGATCTTGATACATAGTACATAAGATAGCTGAAGAAAGTTTAGTAAACAGAGAATACTAAAGTTATGTAATATTAAAATATTATTAGTATTATTTATAATTAATTTATTACATTAAGTTATTTATATAATATCTTATTAATCACATTCTTTCTCATTTGCTGTGTTGAAAATTCTGAAATTTATTTATGAACTTGTAATAATGCTTGTGATTTTTTTGTTCAATTAATATCTTCAATTTTTTTAGACGTCACCAAATAAAATTAAGTATTTCCAAATAGTTTTCATGATAATATCTATAGATAGTACAATTTATCTTTAACTAAAACTTATCAAAAAAGTTAAATCTTTTAATTTTATTTTTTAAAATTAATTCATTTAAACAAATTGGTATATAGAGTTCAGTTTCTTGCATTAAATAATTAAGTTTTTCATATTCAGGAGCAATAGTTTGACTAGCTTTAATATCTTCTACTTTAATATTATCTATTCCATTACGAATAGGTAATGAACTAGCATGTATACAATGAATTTAATAATTCACATTTTCTAAATATTTAGCAAATTTCTTTACTGAATCATACAATTTTGTAACATCATTGATAAAACCTTACTATTATTCACTATGTGTTCATAGTTGAAATATTGAACTTTTTACTGATTTAATATAATTTTCCAATACATACCATTTAAGATTTTTCTTTTTATGATGTAAAGTATTGTAAAATGTATTATATTTGCTATTAACTATATATTCTGAAAGATCTTAAATAAATTTAGATATAGTACAACCTCAAGATCGAAGTTTTACATGATGTGAATCAATATACCAAATAAAATTTGTTAATCTATCCATAAATGATTTACTGATATCAAATGCTACATGCCAACCAAGGTTTTTTGAATGTAATATATCAAGTAAATAATTGTATAATTTATTAACATTATTAGTATTTTCACGTATTACTGATAATTGAATTTTACTACTATTTTCCATTATAATTATAAGTGAATTAATTGTATCTTGTTGATCATTTAATTGATGATTATCAAGTTGAGATAAACATAAAAATCACACATGGTAAATTTTTAGCGGTTGACACATAGCCAAGTCTTCTTCAATACCCTTAGATATTACATGCTAAGTAGAAGAGTTATTGCATTGAAAATCAACTGTAATATTCATATCTGATAAATCAGTGCTATTTAATACTTCTTTAAGCAAGTCTGCAAAAGTTCTATTATCATTAATACTACTTGCTGTCTCTTTAATAATATTGTGCCCATTTTGGATAATGCTCACTAACAAAAATAATTTCATTATAAAAGTATTTGTTAAAATACAAAAGTCACAAAGTTTTTCGTTTCTATTCTTGTATTTTTAATAAGTGGTAAAGACATATAAACCATGTTTTTTTTTTCCTATATCAAAAAATGGATTTAAATAAAGTTAAAGGAGGTATTATTTCACTAATTATTAGTTTAACTTTTTTTGGAATAGATCAATTTATAATTAACTTAATTTGCGATAATTTGCATGATTTATTTAATTATAAATGGAAGAAAATTTTTCATGTAACGACCCGTGTTAATCAACTCATGTTAATCACCTAATATTTAGATTATCCTGTATAATAATCTTTGAATTATGTTTGCATCTGATTTATCCTGTAATTTTATAAAATTAAGGGAGAAATCTTTTTGTATAATGTGATCAAATTGTTCAAATGGAGGGGAGGGGAATTTTTTACAAGGGATGTTAAAATAGTTTTTAAGGGGGTGAGGATAACGTTAAACAGATTTTTAAATTGTAACAGCCTTAATTAATTATAATCATTAAAGTTGAATTATAAACTCTTAAAAAAAAACTCTTTTCCGTCGATCACTTTTCGAAAATAAAGTCTAAGAAAATAAAAATGTTCACCTTCAAAGTTCTATTATATTTTTGACTCCGTTAGTTAGTCTTATAATTCTACAACAGCTCAAATACACTTTCACAACCAGGGAAGAATTTATTTCAGAAGTTACTTTTATTCACTATGGTCAGAAAAACTAAAACAAACAAGCGACATTAAAAAATAAGCATCGTTTCAACCCAACAGAACACCAACAAACTCTCAAGACATCAGTTGCTTCAATCTCTGACGCTGGAGAACAGCTAGACCCGTCCTTAGCTTCAGACGCTGCTCTTATCGAAAACTTTTTCAAACTACTGACTCCTACTCCCCCCAACGTCTTGAATAAGGACGAATACCTTCCTATAGAAGACAATCCCAATATGAAAATGGATCAAAACAAAGATTTCACAGTTATTACTTGTTCAACCCCATTTGCTTGCACAGCAACCATTCCCAAAAGCCTCAAGGACCTCCCTACTGCTACTATTTCAAAGATTGTTAATGCTTACTTCACTCTTAATTATGCGTTCAGAGGGATTAACATTTGCTACATTAACCTAGTTTGGTCAATCGTGATCTACTTCAATGATCAGCAATCTATGGAATCAGCCCTTAATGCGAAATTTCCTGATTTGAATATCAACCAGCTGGTTCAATATGCGACTTACAAAGAAAATATGCAGTTCCCTCAACGCACACTTCATATTACCGATATCTACCTTAACCTCAAAAAGGAACAGCTCACCAACATATTTGCTAAATACGGCAAGATAATTACTGTACAAATGTTTACCAGAGATCTTTGGCAACAAACTTACATCACTTATGAAGATCCTAAGAGTATCGATCTCTTCCATACTCAATGTTCACGTTTTATCTACAATGATTGCATCTGAGTATACCCGACCTGCCTTTTCCTAGAACAAGTTAAACAACGTAATTATTTTAGAATGAGACTCACCAATTTGCACTTCAACACTTCCGCCAGGGATCTGCAAAATATCACCTTAGCTACTAAAGCTAAAGCCCTCTACATCTCTCGTTTAAACAACTATAAACCTCGACCCTTCGCAGTCTTTTACTTCGAAACTGAGGCTTACTTTAACAATGCTGTTAAACAATCTTTTGCATTCAGCGACAATGAACTCCAATAGTGCTCAGCTGATGCGAGATGTTGTCATAAATGTGATTCTCCTGAATATATTGTCATGAAATGGTCCCAAATCGTTTCACCAGTAAATGACAATCCTATCGATCAACCTAAAACTCTAATTTATAAGCTCCCTTCCGTTCAAAAATTATACAATCGCTTCAAGCCAGCAGGATCTAGATTCTTGATCATGAAACACAATAACCGCCAAACCAACCATAACCATTCACCCTTTCCAAAAAGGGTAACAAACCTGCAACAGATAAAGGCAAAGCCAAAGACAAAAGCTCTGCAGGTTCTTCGATTGATGACTCATTTTACAATCCTAATAATAATAACAACACGACCAATGAAAAGTTAGACAAAATCCTTAGCATGCTTGCGGGCATGCAAAAGGCTATGTCTGATCTTGAAATTCGCATTGCTAAGCTAGAAAAGTCTCAATCGACTATCTATACCTCACCTTCATCTTCACCGTCAAACGTCCTGAATAACGGGCCTATTGCGCAGCAATCTGCATCTACCTCTACCCTAAAAAAGAGTTCGTATTGCCAATTCCTCTTCAGATGAAGACCTTAATAAGTCACCTGTTCCCATCGACCTTAAAACACAAGCAATTATTAAAGAACAAGCCTCTGTCATCGCTAAATAACAAAAGCAATTACAGATCGTTAATGCTCAAATGCTCGAAATCATGGCTCAGGTGCAAAAACCATCCAGTTCCTCCCTACAATAATTTCACCCACAATCATGATTAATAATAATACAAATATCGATAAAAATAATAATTACAAAAATAAACATATAGAAGATCCCACTAACAATCAAATTAATTCAAAAGGCACACCTACTATATCTTTTGCTACCCATAATGTTAATTCACTTCAATGTTCAATCAAAAACCAATTTATTAACGATACATTTATAGATTTTAATACGGATTTTGTAGGTCTCACTGAAACTCGACACAAGTCTGACCAATCCTTTCATTATACACACGACCCTGACTACACTTCTTTTTGGAATACCCATCTTAACTCACATGTCAGAGTTGGCATCTTCGTTAAAAAATCCTGGGCTGTCTATATCTAAAAAGCCTATCTAGATAATAATCGATTTATCTACATAGACTTGTATCTATCTGGACATACCAAAATACGCATCTTCTGTATCTATCTACATGCTTCAACTGAATCCGATACCAAGACGGAACGACTCAACCTACACAAATTAATCATCAAATATGTTCATGACAGCATCAAAGTGGATTTTAAGACTGTCATCTTAGGGACTTCAACGCGAATCTCAATACTTACTGATCACATGTTAACAATGACAAAGCACTACACTGGCAAATTAACTTCTACAAACGGCTCTTTACATTGAACTTCCTAGATCTTTATGACGTTTGTCATGATACACCCTAACCCACGTACCACTCAGGCTCACGAAGTTCAAGAATTGATACTATTTTTATCTCACCCAACTTCACTTTAGAATTCCTTTATTCATACTTAGATCAGCCAGTCCTCTACTCGTCCGATCATAAGATCATTTTCGCAATATTTGCCGATTGTCATAAGCAATTAAGTGCTCGAGGTCATACCTTACAAAATAAATGACAAGTTCCCAATTTAAGAGCTATGAACCCGTTCAAATGGAATGAATTCACTGCGCACACTGATTTTCATTATAGATGTCACAACCTGGACCGTCTCTCAGACCTCCTCACTAACAGATGCAACATGAACACCCTATGGATAGATATTAAAGCTGCCATCCTAGCTGCCAACAGATGTGTCATATCTCAAGTTTGGATTTCCTCACAACAAAGAGATAAACGACCCTTTGAACAGCCCCTCTTTCATTGCAGCCAGAAAAGTTGGATCATTCTTGCTCCATTTCAAGGACTCACTTTTACAGACAAACCGATGGCCTGAACCCCCTGAATGGTCCCATATCAAAGATAATATAAAAAAGCTGATCGTAGAATTGAAACTTCCTACGTGTTCTTTTCCTCCCTCTCTGCAAATCGACAATATCAATGATACCAAATTAAAAATCAAGGATCTTCACAAATTCTTAACAGCATTAGCTAAGATCAAAATACAAAAAATAAAAGAATCAGCTATCAAGTCCTTTATAGACAAGCGATGTGACAACCTGCAAGATGACCCCTCCAAAATGATTGTCTCTATCTTGAATCAGAAGAAATGATCCATAGTACTTGATCGACTGCTTATCACGGACAAGGACTCAGGCGATAAATGTTTTACCATCGAACCAGAAGAAATCAAAAGAGCCACCATTGATCATTTCTAAAACTTTGCTGTCCCTTTAACCCCTGTGTAACCTATGCCTCCAGATGGTCTGAGCAATATATACCCAAGGACCACGTTAATAAGCAATACTATTCTAATCTCATGCAACCTCCAACATACGATGAATAGCTTGCTGTCCTTAGAACACTTCCCAATAATAAAGCAGCCAGTCCCTCTGGCATCACCAATGAAATGATTGCTCACCTTGGAGAAAAGCTTCAATGATTTCTTTGAAAACTCATATGTATGTGCTTCACAATAGGTGACATCTCCAATGAATGGAAAATCGCCCACATATATCCCATTTCCAAACCCATGGAATGGGAATGTGATATAACCAAAACCAGACCCATTACACTACTAGAAACTGCGCACAAAGGTCTCGTTAAGATCATCACTAATAGACTTTCCCGAATTTTAGCCAACCACAACATCCTCAAGGGAGGAAACTTCGCTGGATTGCCAGGAGGATCAATGGAACCACCTATAAAAATTATCAATATGCTATTAGAGGATGCTATCGAGAATAATAAAGAAATTTGGATCCTACTGCAGGACCTCTCCAAAGCTTACGATCACGTTGATTTGTCTTACTTTCGTCTCGTCCTAAATAGAATCAAAGTCCCTAAGTTAGCTACTGATCTCATCATAAACCTCTTTACCTCAAGAAGAAACGTTGTATTCCACCGCATAGAGAACCACTGACTTATACTATGTCAAGATAGGTATTGAACAAGGAGAAGTTATTTCCCCTTTAGTGTGGTGTATCTACCTGGATCCCTTACTCTGCGAAGTAAGCTCTCTAAATAAGGATATATAATGGATTATACTTGGATTTCTGACATCACCTCCATGAAAACTAACACTATATCAGCCTCCGTTTCATCACTTGTGTTTATGGATGACACAAACTGGATGGCTAATTCCAAACAA